AGCCATTCCAAACAAAAATTGTGTCCTACTCTATGTCTTCGTGCATGCGCGGGAATTTGATATAAAATAAGATATTAATACAAAATAAAAATAAGAATTTAATATAAAATATCTTAATTTAGTCTAAACAAACATATTATATTTCTAAATAAAATATAATAATAATTATTTTATGGAATTCACAAATCTTCAATTTACGCAATATTTAGTTTGTATGGATTGCACTACAGTTCAGTTGAACATAGTCTATGTTGGGAATGGCTTCTCTAGTACGTAGTACATATAACTCAATCAAATTGAAAAAAAGCAAATTGAAAATTGTCTGTGTCACGTCAGCATGAATTTTTTTATACAATGATTTTTTATAACTTTCGATGTCATTTAAGTCAAGAAGAAAATTATAATAGACTTCACGATGAAGCCCCATCTCGTACCACTCGCAATATTTGTAATCTGCACAATTATGAGTATCAACATGTATACCTACTGTATACGAAGTATTACGAGAATAATCTGTGATTATAGTCATAACCATAGATTATAACTAGTCTGGTTATGACAAATCGGTTTTGATATCATTGTGTGTAATTTAATAATTTAGAAATTTCGGACAGCAGACACATAGGATAGGAGACACATGCATACATACCAGCCAAACTATATTGCCAAAATACATAATATAGAAATTTATTTTGAGGTCAAACTGATGACGCCAACATAGCTGCAAAGGATGTTGACTTTCTCTCTCGTATGTACAGCGTTGACAAAAAAACAACTGTGAATGTTTTCATTTCGTTATTTTTATTTCGTACACTTAATGATGAACAGACTTCTAGAATTAAACTAAGAGTCGCTAAAATCTGTTGAAATTTGTCCAAAAAAAATTTTGTACATTCCCACCATTCAGATTTTCTTCGTTTTAATTTATTATTTGCCTTTCCTGTTGGTGCCAAAACCTCCTATGTACTATGGAAGTGTTCTATGTTTTATAGTGTATTTAGGGGTCAAAAAAGAAGAAATTCGCTTACTTGACCAAATATTCATAACCTTGTTTATTTATAAGGATACGCCAGTAAACTTGGAAGATTTAAGAACATATTAATATTCAATAACTTGGTTCATAGTAAAGTGAAATTACAGATATTTACGTCCCACTGGTAGGATTATGGAATATTATATTTCTTCTTTCTGTGTTCGATGTCCAATGTTTTTCAAATATTTTATTTCTCAGATATATCAGTTTTCTCACAATAGTTCCTTCAGTGCCATACCAAAAAAATAATAAATAAGCACTTAAAATTGCAATTATTTCATTGGTGTCAACGGGGATCTTAACCAGGTTGCTAGAGTACTGTGAAAGCTACGGCGAGCTATTAGCCCCTGAGCTACCACGGCTTTAGTGGTTAATATTTGCCATTTTATTATTACCTAGACTGTCTTTAAATTAATAGAATGTATTAAACCCATGCGTCATTTAATGTACCTTTAAAATTCCGGATACAAACAAAAATATGGGTGTGCTACACTTTTTTTGCTCTGAAGGTAGAGCCAAGTTAAGCATAAACTCAATACACTAAAATAATCCTAATTGTGCTTTTTAGGTCGTTATTCTATAGGAATACGAGTAGGATCTGACTCTCATTCTGAAGATCTGAAGCTCCTACGCTACGTGTCGTAGTAAGTGGCCTTATAATCGATTTGGTAATTAATGGCTATGCAATACAATTATTGTAACATTACATGGTGCTATTTTAACAACAATACGACCAAAACCGTTCGATACAGTTCGGCGAATTGTATAACGATCATTCCGGCTAATTTAGCAACGGCAACAGATGGGAGCCGCTAGTACGTGACGTTTTAAATGGCTCCCATAAAAAGGCAGGATGTCACGAATGTGAAGTGCAAGGGCGATGCGACTCGTTGTCATGGTTGGTCTATACACATTGACGGGCCTCACAAAAATGTTAAGGCTCCAGTACACGTTGGACGAGCGCGCTTGGCGAGCCCACACGACAGTATTTTGTGGTGCCGTTCACACGTTGGCGTGCTTCATTCTGCGTTGGTAGCTAGATGATGATGGACGTTAGTAATCGCGGCCTTATTTTTCTGTTGCTCATGTTTGGGGTCCCATATAACTGATTCATCGTGATAAGAATCAATGAACCTAAATATTTCCTCATTAGGCGATGTCGCTATGTTCGTGAAATAATTTTATTAAGCTGTAAAGCGTAACTATGAACTGAACACTCGGCCAACGTGTGATCGCTATTTGCGGCTGGCGCCAAATTTCTTTGATTTGTGCACGGAAAACCGACACTATACGGCTTGTCGGCGAATGTTGGCCGCAAACGCCAAATACACACAAAACGGCCGAACGCGCTCGCCAAGTGCGTTCGGCCAACGTGTACTGCTACCTTTAAATGAAATACGTAATATATCGGCCTAATCGAATATTAGCAGTGCTAAAAGTTTCTCTCTCTCTCTCTCTTTCTCTCTCTCTCTCTCTCTTTCTCTCTCTCTCTCTCTCTCTCTCTCTTCACTAACCACATTAGAAAGAGACATGTATAGAGATAATATTAAGAAAGCTATGTCAACTATTAATAAGTAAGACCGTAAAAGATGGCCCAAAAGTTACTCGGTCGTGAAATGAATGCTATGAATTTAAATATTTTATATACCATTTCTTACTCTTGTCTTACGTAATCAGTAATCACACACACAAACGCACAATCAGTCTGGTTGTAAGTGGACGCTATGGCCCATAAAACTATCTTTACCATTTGCGTTGTCGTTCTTGAGGACTTAATACAATGCTGGTATTTTATGCGACCGTGAGCTCTCCCTGTTCGGCAACCTATTGTTGCTGCCATAATTCAGCTGTAGCTGACATTACCAGGAACATAATTGATTTATATTGGTGTACGAACCAGTGATTAAAAAGTTAAATATCAAATACCTAAATAATAAGTAACATGCGTGAGTGTCGTGGAACACTACGTTAGAACAAAGTTCCTTTCGTAGGATATTATTATTATTGATAAACGTATCTATTATATTATTGATTAACAAATACAAATAAATGAATTACTAGCGTCTATTAAAATAAAGCGTCATTTAAAATAAAATAATATTTATTTCATGGCAAGATAAGAAAAAGTGCGAGGGAGATGGATATTATTCCATCTCGCTTCCCTATAGCCAAGGCCGTCTACACTACGTCAGAAGGGGTGGTGACGGAAAAATCTCCCATCCGTCATCATCCGTACCGTCTGATAAAGAACTTCGTCCCAAAAGAAATAATTTGCGGCAACTCTCAAAAAATTTATATTTTTCGCTGATTATCAAGTCAAAGTCAATGTTAACATGCCCAAGCGTAGGCCGACCGGCCTCCGGCTGTCCAATATTGGCAGCTATGATGTCATATGTTAATGACCCTTTGCTATTACCGCCTTGTGAATTCTATTGATGTTATGAATCAACACTAAAATGTAACACTAATATTTTTTTGTTTTGTTGGAAATTAATAATTATAGCTTTTCACACGGTATAAATACTCACATAGCTAATAACTAAATATCATCAAAGTTAGAAAACCTGTTTTTAGGCTGTTAACAGATACCCAATGACGACGGAGTATAAGCTATTTAAAGTCTTACTTCTAATTACACTACGGCGCTTTCGAGTATTTGTTTTTTTTTGTATGTTATTATAACGCAGTCTATTAATTGAAAAATAAATAATTAATGTTTATTCTTTGTCTGCAGTTGCATGTTGCTATATTTTCAGATGTTTTACGTTCGTATTCTGTGAGACGATCGTTATTCTCCATAAGAAAGTTTTGCAACCTTACTGTCTAAACCTATAAAACGCTTTGTACAAACAATTGATATTGTTTATGCCGTCACTTCGTCCGTTCATTGATGCTTTCAATGAACGAACTTCCTATCACTTTCTAAAAAAAGTCTAGTATTGTACAAATGTAACGAATCTATTAGACATTTTTACGTAGTAGAGCCATCCTGCAGCTATATTGTCTCTTAGTCCTCAGAGGTTACAACGAATCTGCATTTTTATTCATAATCGAGGATAGATGTCTTTGGGCCTCAGCATCCACTTACCGTCAGTTGGACTGTGTGTTCGCTTGTCACCATTATTCTATAAGAAGGCAAAAACTTTCCTTAGCTCTTCATTTTTAGGTTCCTCTCCGTCCGTATGTTATAATGTACAGAGTTTATAACTTCTAACTAGAGTTTTGGAACCAATTAAATAATTTAATAAAATGATCTTCCAACATAGATCTAGATTGTATGGTTACAACAAGTTACTTATATATTTATTTACTTTGTCTGTACGTAAACATGAGATGCAATATTCGACTTTGCATATTGAATCATTAAAAATCTAATATATTCTCCAAGTATTACAAGATACTGTAGTACCATACCGTAGACAGCATTAAGCTCAGAAATCGCAAATTCGAGGCCAAAATGGTGAAACACCGTATTGTTGCATTACATATCTAAACAAGTAAATTATAGTTTGTGGCATAACGACAATATAATTTTTAAAAAGTAATAGCTTCTGGCTAACGACCAAAAAATGAGTCAGCGAGAATCACATGTGAGAATTATCACAAAGCGTTGTGCTTATTAGTTGTGAATATATTAGATTTTTAATAAATGCCTAGCAAATAATCGTTCCTTTAATAAGGAGCGATTTTTACTAAAATTATTTGGTAAACGTTTTTGTCGACCAATTTTAACTCATCAACTCATAGAAAATAAAGGGTGTCAGAAACACAAGAGCAATCTTAAAATCCCAATATAATCGGACTCGCGTTTCAACAATATTTGTTTTGCACAAATATCCAGCTTGAAATCAAATCTAGTATCCTCGGCGGTCTTTCCAGCTACGCATACCTCGCTATTAGTGAAGATTGTATAATGGTTTTACATGATAGATTATATAATTTAAAAAAAATTGTTACCTTGTTACAGGGAAGCGATGACAGAAAAATTACTTTTACGAGTACGGAGGAGCCAGCAAAGGCATCACAAGCCATACCGAATATTCGACTTGTGGATGGTCCGTCTATACTCGCCGGCAGGGTGCAGATCCTACACAAGGGACAATGGCGATCCGTATGCACTAATTCCAGAAAGTGAGTATATATCTTATGATATATTTTTAATAGAATTGTTTAAATTTTTGTAAAAGTAACACCAAAAATGTTTACTATCCCGCACTGCGTTTTCAACGCTTATGCAATGAAATTATAGCTCCACATTGCACTATTATTAAAAATATATTGAAATTGAAGTGATGACAAGAACAACGATAAACAATTAATATAAATCCACTTCTAATTTATTTTTAATTTTTTCAAAATTTTTTTGGCATCGTTAGATATCGTTGGTTTCAGAATCGTTATTGCTGGGGTGTCTATACTCGTACATAGGTATCTTTTATATCGCATGATACAATCGTAATGTCGCAACAGACTTCACACAAATCCCTCAATCTCCGTTAAGCTAGGAGCATCAGATGAAGCTATAAGAACCGTATAGGCTAACAGCACTCACATCACAGAAAATAGACGCTAGGAGTAATTGTAATAAATTCCAAGCATGAAAGGTTATTCATTTTATTAATTTATTATGACGAGATGGATGGCGTAAATTACTCGTATATGCTGACATCCAAATACCTTGTCTATCATTTTAACACAATATCTATAAAGTCGAACATAGTTTTTATTTAATTTTTTGTTAGTTTACTCTTTAAAGGAATATTATTTTATTCTTGTAGTTTGTATTGGCGCTTAAACTTATTACTTCATATTTAAGTAACAAAACTCAAAAAGTCGTCATTAATGGTAAATGTTCCTCCGGATCGGTAGTATCAATGGGCGTTCCTCAGGGCTCGATTCTTGGCCCATTCCTGTTCTTAATCAAATGACTTACCTTATCTTGTAGGGGACAATCACGATATAGTATTATTTGCTGACGATACCTCTTTAATTTTCAAACTGAAACGGCAGTCAATTAAATATGACGATGTAAATAATGCTCTATCGAAACTAGTACATTGGTTTAACGCCAACAATTTGCTCTTAAACGGCAATAAGACAAAATGTATTAAATTTACAATACCTAATGTAAAACATTCGAAAACCAATGTGCTCTTAAATGGGGAGGAGTTGAGTCTTGTGGATACCACTGTTTTTCTCGGTATTACTATTGACGCGAAACTTCAATGGGGCCCCCATATATCTAAATTAGCAAGCAGACTTAGTTCTGCAGCATATGCTGTAAGAAAGATTAGAAGTCTCACAGATGTTGAGACAGCTAGGTTAGTGTATTTTAGTTACTTTCATAGCGTAATGTCTTATGGAATTTTGCTATGGGGTAATGCGACTGATATTGAAGCTATATTTGTTTTGCAAAAGAGAGCCGTACGGGCGATTTATAATCTAAATTGTAAAGAGTCCCTTAGAGAAAAATTTAAAGAACAGGAATATATTAACTTTGGCATCGCAATATATTTATGAAAATGTAATGTATGTACATAAAAACATAAATAGCTTTAATAAGAATAAGGATGTTCATACCTTAAACACTAGGAACAAACATAAGCTTGTAATGCCACTTACAAGACTCCACAGAATTAGTAATTCATTTATGGGGCAATGTATACGCTTTTACCACAGAATCCCAGAACATGTTCAAAGTTTGTCAATAAACAAGTTTAAAAGTTTTATTAAAGAAAAACTGTACAAAAAGGGTTATTATAATATCAAGGAATACATGAATGAAAATAACCCCTGGGAATAAGGTGATCGCCACCATGCTGGTTCTATGAAAATTCATTTAAAATTGTATAAACAAAATTATTGTTAAGTGAAATTATGTTTAAAAAAAAAAGTCCCGCTGGGTTTCTTGCTGGTTCTTCCCAGGACAGAGGTATTTTCCGAACCAGTGGTAAATAAAATAATGACTTTCAATAAGTATTATGTAATAATCCATATTGAATAAAAATCATTCTATTCTATTCTATTCTATTATATTAATGTGGCAGTGGCCAGTGGCTTTATTGTTTGTACGAACCGAGAATACGATGCTTTAGTACTTAGTACGTGTTACGTTGGGCATTGGTTTTATTTTTCAAAAGAAATATGATTATGAGTTTTATAAATTACAGTAATAATTTACGAAAAATAAGTAGATTAATAAATTAATATACGATCAAATAAAACAATTAGATAAATTACAAAAACGCTTACTCGGATAATAAATACTAAAAGCCGTTATTCTTTGTTCCAGTTGGACTATCCACGATATGGAGACTGCCTGTCGGCAATTAGGTTTCATGGGCGGAACATTCTACAACTGGATGGACAGACAGCCGGGTCGTCGAGCGCGCCTCTTATTCGAGGAACCCAAGTGTAAAGGAACGGAATATGACTTGTTTCAATGTGACTGGAATTCGAGACAACTTGGATCAGGTGTTTGTGATTTCCATCCCGATCTTGCTATTCAATGTCTACCACATCACGACGATAATGAAATAAGAAACTACGGGCAACACTGGAGAGGAGTTCGATTTGAAAATGCTGTCTTTGAAAGAATTCTAACTGCAGAAAACACTCTTTATATTCCTACCTCTATGTCAATACTCAAGCATGTAGTGATAAGAAATGCGGGGTTAGGTAGAGATAATAATGCAACTAGTGCATTAGATGTGATGGGTGTGCCACCTATCATGGAAGATATTAAAATAACAAACTCCGCTTTTAATGCTATTAATGTGACATCTCCAAACGCTCCCGTAGTTATCAACAACTGCGCCGTACAAAATAACAGAGGTTATGGCATTTATGTAAATTCTACCTATGGCATGACCAAGATTGAGAACTGTTTAATACATGAGAATGGTGGAGATGGTATTAAATATGTTGTGCATGAAATGAATATCGATGAGAAGTTCGATCGCAGTGAAATCTTTGATCTGTGCACCTTAGCCTCAACGCCCAGCCAAACGTTTCCAATACAAATGTCAATCGAACAATCTAGATACTCAAATATGGAGAGAGATTGTTACCAAAAATTTTATACAAGGCCTGATCACGTTCTAACTTTAAGCTTTATAAAACTTTTAACAAATAATAACAATACTGGAGAAATTTTTATTTACGATGGCTTAACATTCGACGACAAACTTCTGTTATCCTTTAGTATTAGAAACTATACGCGACCACAGAGTGTTACTTCTACAAGGAACCGCATGTTTGTAAGATTTCATGCTAAAACAAGGACTGATATAGTAGGCTTCTTGCGATTAACATCTGGAGTTAGCAAAACATATGATTTAAATGTAACGGACACGATTATATCCGACAATAATGGTAGAGGTGTTGTTATTGAGAACCTAAGATCTCAAGTTCATATCCATCGTACGTCTATATCAAATAACAACCATGTTGCTGGATTTCAAGTTGTAAGTGGTGCGGGAGATGTTAATGTTACAGAGAGTAGAATCTCTTTTAATCAAGGAGATGGTATCAATGTTACAGTCACTGGTGGAAACAGAAATATATCAAGAAGCATAATAAGCTCAAATAATGGATATGGCATAGCTGTGTGGCTAAATAATACCAAAGAAACTGAATACATTCCAGTTAATCAAACAACGGTCATCGAATATTCGGAAGTATTTAAAAATCTTGACGTGGGCATTTTACATGGAAACTTTTGTGGTGACAGTTGGGTCAATCTTACTGGAAACTGGTTCAATTCAAGCGTAGAAAGCACTGTAGATATATCAACCTGTTGGAAATTTAATGATCCTCCCAGATTACTTAATTTACAAATAGGCCATAACAAATTTTATCAAAATATTCGAGTTCCTATAAAACTTCAACCAGCTCTTAATGTGATAGGTAGAATTGAATACAACTACTTTGAACATGGTGACTATGGAGCTATTGTAATAATGAATCGTATAGAAGGCAAGTACTTAGAAGAATTTGAAATACTTCCTGCAAAGTTTAATATAGAACATAACTATTTTTATGGTAATAGAGGACCCTTTGTTGTTAACCTAGGTTTATCACCTTATAGTGACTTTCAATATATATTGTTTTCGAGAAATTATTTAAGAGACAATAAAATAAGAGAGCCATTTGAACCTTTAGAAGGTATTTCGTCACGATTAACACCACGAAGCAGAGTAGCTGCGGCAATAGTATTAGCATCAAGCAATATTGACGTGTTTCGAAATATAATTAACAATCCTGAAGCGCAGTACGAAATCGGTTCACATGTAGAGGACCAAAGTAAAATTTTAAACTGCACCTATAACTGGCTAGGTTTTGGTGATGAAGAAAAAGTTTACAACAGATTGTTCCATAGAAAAGATCGCTACAATTTGGCCAAAATTATTTATATGCCATATTTACTACACAGTAGTAATCCTGGCGCAACTCAAATTAATTACAATTCACTTTACGTTCCCCAATTTAACATACCAGGTACATTTGTTGTGGGTGGTGAGGTAGAAGGAATAGAAATTTTAAGACAAGGAGAATATGACGTAGATAAAGACATTAATATTCGACCAGGTGGGAAGCTAGTGCTTCAATCAGGTGTAACATTAAAATTCCCTCCCGCGATAGGAATGATGATCGCAGGTAAACTTGAAGCTAGAGGAAAACGTCCAAATGATATTACTTTTACTCTAAAGGAAGAAGTTATTATGAGTAATGACAGTATCTACGAAACAGATACAGAGATAGAGCCTACAACGCCTGGTTACGTTGAACCTTTTATACCTATAAGACTTTTAGGTGGAAGAACACAGTATGAAGGAAGATTACAAGTAAGAATCGATAATAAATGGGGTACGGTATGTAACTACAAATGGAATATAATTAATGCTGCTTTAGTTTGCAATCAACTCGGCTTAGCTTTGAACCCAAACGATTGGTATCTAGAGCCTAATGAAATACCAAGTGCTGGTACAGCAGAAGATATTATTTTATCCAACGTTGAATGCACAGAATTCGATAATGATATAACAAAATGTAAAGCGGAGACCATTGGACATTTCGAGAATTCTTGTACACACGAAAACGACGTTGGTATTCGATGTTACGAAACAAGTTGGGCAGGTTTAAGATTCAGTGTCATTGCTGAAAGAGCCGATTTACAATATGTGAACATTGAGAAAGCAGGTCTATTGGATTACTCATCGAATGTTTTTAAGCCAGCTCTTCAAGTAGACTTTTTTAGGCACAGCCTTGAAAGTGTTAAGATATCGAATAATTACCATGACGGATTGGGAATATTATATTCAGATTTGTATGGAGCCGATGCTATCAATATTGTTAGAAACTCGGAATTTAGTAATAATAAAGGGAGCGGTATAAGCTTTAAACAATTAGGACTTAAAGTACACAGCTCAGTTATGGAAAATAACAATGTAGCTGGTATTTCACACAATCCTCATCTGACTGGTCAGCAACAAAGAGAAATAGCCGGATGGTTTAATTTAGATCCAGGTTTTAATATGGACGAATCAAATTATCGTCCTATAATGATTCCTGATTATGAAACAGACATTAGTCTTGTAAACGGTGAAACGAGACATTTGGTGTTTACTAAACATTATGGTGATAACTTAGTAAAAAGTTATAATATTAAATGCAACCCAGGATATGTTCTTGGGTTGCAACTTTTAAATCCTATTCACAATTTCTCAACTGAAAGTATTTGTATTTACGATTCGCAAAACATTCATGAGGGAAGCACCAAATGGTGTCTAGATCGAGATTTATCAACATTCCCTACAACAAGTAGCAGTTTTGGAATTGTTTTAACTTATGAAAGTGGTCAATCGGCTTTAGGAGGAGTGGTCTTAGTTTTAAGTACTATCACAGCACCAGTCCAAAATATTAGGAACAGAATCGTGAAAGGACCTGTACCAACACTTCAAATCGTCAATTCAAAAATTAAAGGTAACACGGTGGGTGTCAAAGCGTTATATTACAATAGGTATCTAAATGAATTAGGTGACCACTTTTTACGAAAAGCCAATGAAACTATTAAGATATTCAATTGTGAAATAGCACACAACAAAGAAGAAGCTATTTATGTAAATACACCATATTGGGATATTCACGAAAGCAATATCACAGAAATAACTATTATGGTAAACAATACCTTAATTACGGATAATGGCAAAGGAGTATATCATTTTGCTAGAGACTTAAGAAGCTCGAATAATCTTTATCATTATGTTCTACAAGATAACACTATAGAAAGAAATAAAAACGGCGGTTTTGACATCGGATTGCCATATGTATGGCAATATAATGAGAATTTTACGCATTCAGTCTTCATGTACAACAATACCTGGCGGAATAATCAAAATTTCGGATTTATTATTGATGGCCATTTCGCCGAAGTAAACATAACGAAAAATATTTTCACTGACAATATTTGTAAAACGGGTTTAATAGCTATTCGCGGAATGGAAAAGAAAATGAAAATTGATGGTAATTCAGTCGAGAGGAATAACGGTCAGTACATGGTCCAATTTTATATGGACAGCCAAAGCGAAATAATGGGATTCGTTTACGCTGTTTTTGTTTACAATAAAATAAAAAATAATCATTTTTCGTCGAATGTTAATAGAGGAGCCCTGATAAGAAGTCTTGATCAGACATACGTTATAGGTTTTAAAGGAATACAGAAAGTAAAAGTAAGCCGAAATCTGTTTGGAAACAATGCACTCCAATATACGTTAGTAGCTGGAATTAAAACTGCTAAAATTGATAACCTATTAGATGTAACAGAAAATTGGTGGGGAAGTGCGGATGAAAAAGAAATTAAAAAGAAAATCTTTGACTTTGATGATTGGAATAATCATGCTATTGCTACCTACTTGCCCTACTTGCTTGAAGATAATTTTGATTCAAGCGTGTCTGTTACTTTTAGTTCTGAGAACGCTATTGATATTAACGCATTAGGAGGAAGGCTGATTACTGATCTTACTTTAGAATCGCGTATCGCGCCATATATAGTGAAAACTGATATCACTGTGATGCCAGACGTAACATTGACAATCAGTCCAGGGGTCATTTTAGACTTCGCTCCAAATGTTGGCATACTTGTAATGGGCACACTGCATGCTATAGGTCATGCTCAATTACCTATAGTAATGAGACCAATTACAAAATCTAAAACTAATGAACTAAACAGAATCGAGAAAAGAGATATCGGACAGTATTCATCAAGTCATCACAAACACAGGAGGCAATTGGAGAATATGGTGATTCAAAAATCTATAAGACTTTGCACAGGAAGAAATTGTTCTATTAATGACATCACCACTAAAAATACAAACGAAGGTTTCTTGGAGTACTATAATAAAACTACTTTGCAATGGGTGCCAATGTGTGACAGTCGATTCACTGAAAGGAACGCGCAAGTTGTATGCAGAGAATTAGGCTTTGATCCCATTAATATATTTTTTGCTCACGATCGCCGAGTAGAATATCATAGCAATTCTTTATCGAGGATTTGGTCATGGCCAGAGCCATTACAATGTATCGGTACTGAAGATCGTTATGAAGACTGTCCGATCAGACTTAATGGTCAACTGTATGGACACAGACATGAATGTAAATGGGACTCGGACTTTATATTCATCCATTGCGGTGAAAGAAATTTAGATGATAGCCTTGAATACTGGGGTGGTATCAGATTTACCTATCCGGAGTTTGAGTACTCTCTTTATGAACATAGAATCCACGATCATCATACACACGAAACTTTAAAGAGAATTGAGAGTGTGTTAGAAAATATTCATATATCAGGAGCCGGCATATTGCATAATGAAAAATCTCCAGCAATTCAAAGCATAGCAAAGAATCCTAGGGTTCAAAACGTTAACATTAGCAATTGCGCACATCATGGAATCAACATCATATCGCCAACAGATACAATAAACTTGATGTATAATACATTTAGCGATACATTGGGAGAAGGAATAAACGCCATATCATTGACAGGAGAAGGTAGAGAATCGGATGAATCTAGTTTTACACCTTTAAAAGATTTGAATCTACCATATCATTTATTTTCGGTTATTGACATTTGCGACAGTTCAAAAGTAATTACAGTTGAAGAGAGAGTACTCCTTTACTACAAATACGACAATAACCCCGTTAACTGTGTTAAAATTTTCAAAAGTATGTTCAGAGTCAAGCCTTTTGGATTCAGACTCCTTCAGTTTAATTTGTTCAATCATACACTCAACTACGGAAAACGCGATTCGCTGACATTGTACGACGGTGATATCTACAATATTACAGCCCCTCTTATTGGTTATCTAGAGAATGGATCGCCTGATGAGAAGAAGTTATTCAGGACAGAAGGGGCCAGCTTGAGTGTGAAATTATTTGCCAACGGTGCATCGTCTGTACATGGATTTATTGCCGAAGTGGTCACTCTACCAATATCCGCCATAGGAATTAGTAAGTTTCTTTTTCTTTCTTAATATAATTTTCCATGTAGAAAAAGTATTTATTATATCTTACATGTCATTTTCAAATTAAGGATTATTATTATAACCGAGAATTAAATTAGTCATCATTTTCATCATCATTACAGCCCTTCATAAGTCCACTGCTAAACATAGACCTCCCCCAGGAATGCCTTTTTTCCCATCGGTTGTCGGTTCTTCGAGCTATATATATATATATATAGGAGATTAAGAGAAGAAGATATGGCCGGCCCATTGCCACTTCAGCTTACTAATCTGTTGGATTATGTCGGTTACTCTGGTTCTACTGCGGATATCTTCATTTCTAAGCTTATCACGCAGAGAAACCCCGAGCATAGTCCTCTCCATAGCTCTCTATACGACCTTGAGTGTCATACGGAGAGCAGTGAAGGACCACGTCTCAGATCCATAAGTCATCACTGGCAACACGCACTGGTTGTACAATCTCGTTTTTAGGTTTTGAGGTATACTTGACGAGAAGATGTGTCGTAGTTTCCCGAAGGCTGCCCCGCCGAGTTGAATCCGTCGATTGACCTCCCGGTCAAAATTAGACTTACCTAGTCGGACTATTTGTCCCAGGTAAACATACTCGTCAACAACTTCGAGCTTAGTGTTCCCAACAATTATCGGCATAGGTGTGACATGAACATTATACATGCTCTTTGTTCTGTCCATGTTCATCTTAAGACCTATCCGTTGGGAGACACTATTGAGGTCATTGAGCATAGTGCTTAGGGCCTCCAGCGATTCTGCCATAAGGACTATATCGTCGGTAAATCGAAGGTGGTAATCGAATCTTTCCAGTCCAGTAGCTTGAAAACGTCTTCCAATGCAGCGGTAAAGTTTCGGGGATATAACATCACCCTGTCTTACACCTCTCTGCAGTTGGATAGGTTTCGTACTCTGATTCTGTACTCGGATAGCCATCGTAGCCTTACTGTACAGACACTTCAGCACTTCGATATACCGACAGTCAATTTGGCACCGCTGAAGCGACTGTAGCACCGCAAAAATTTCGACGGAATCAAAGGCTTTCTCATAGTCCACATACACAAGGCAAAGTGGCAGATTGTACTCTTCTGTCTTCTGTAAAATTTACCGAAGGGTGTGTATGTGGTTTATGGTACTAAAGCCTTTTTGGAAACCGGCTTATTCAGGAGGCAGGAAGTCGTCGAGTCTGCGTGCGAGACGATTTGTAATAACTCTCGAAAACAGCACGTAGACGCGGTTTAGAAGGGAAATTGGTCTTTATTTCTTCAAGAGAGCGTTGTCGCCTTTCTTGAAGAACAAGACCACCACACTTCTGCTCCACGCCTCCGGGGTAGTGCCACCACGGAGGACGGATTTAAAGAGCTTCTGAAGGACTTCAAGTACCGGTTTTCCACCCGCTTTCAGAAGCTCCGCTGTAATTCCATCCTCACATGGGGCCTTGTCGTTTTCAAGGTGCTGGAGAGCCATTCTAATTTCGCTCAGACTGACGTCCGGGATATCTTCGGAATAATGTCGGATAAAACTCGCTCTTGGATCGTTACTCACACTTGCGTGTGGCTCCAACGATGACGTGTACAGCTGCCCATAGAACCTCTAAATTTCACTCAAAATCTCAGGTGTCCCAGAAACGATGCTGCCACACTTGGTCTTCAGCTTTGACAGTTGGCTCTTTCTGACAGACAGCCTTGGTTCCGCTCGATCGCTTCTTCAATACAAGCTGTATTGAAGTTGCGTAAGTCTCGCCGCATACATTTGGAGATCTGTCTGTTCATTTACCTGTATGCTGTCAAATCTGTTGAAGACTGCAGCTTCATTTCCCGTCTCCAAGCCATGATATTAAGATTGTGATCGAAGAGTTTTTGTGTTCTTTGCGGTGGGTCTTGCATTACTTAGCTCCGACCGCATGGACAGTTTCCACGAGCTTATCATTCATTGTAGTTTTCTAGACGCTGAAAACGGTTTTGTAACTCGAGCTGAAAGGTTTCGGGACTTTGGACTAGAGCGTTAGGGGACCGGAGCGTTGACTTCATTAGACGAGACCTCTTCAACTTAACGTTTAGGTTCAGTGTGCCTCTAACCATTCTCGTGATCACTGAGACATCACTGAACAGTTGTCGTCTGGTCGTCATAATGAAGTCAATCTCATTTTTCGTCAAACCGTCGGGACTCGACCAGGTCCATTTCCTGTGGGGCGCTTCTGAAAGAAAGAGTTCATCATAAAGAGTCCCTCTTTCTCCTTGAAGTCGACCAGCTGCTGGGCCCTTGGGTTCCGTTGCCCTATTCCAAATTTCCCTACTTTCAGCTCACCGTTCTCTTTTGTGCCTAGTTTTCCATTGAAGTCTCCCATTAACTCCGTAGGTTTTGGAGGAATACATGGCTCATACATTTCCTCCACCTCAACAATCGGGATGTGCCGAAGTTGGTGGGTAAACCTGTATGACCTTCAACGAATACCGTTTGGTGATTCTGAGTATAAGGTACGCAACCCTCGTCGACACACTCACAATCTTTGGGGACTATCAATCTACTGGGGGCCCTCTTTTCGTAAGTTTCATCTTGACGAGCGGGTTGGCAACCACATTTCTTTTTTTGTAATATTGCTGTTATCAGGAAGATGCTGCTGCCCATGTCCTGCCTGTTTTCCACTGTCGCCTCTTACGACACCCACGGGAAGATATGGGGTAGTGGATATTCTTAACCGCCACTTCACGGCCAAATTAAATATTAAATAAATTAGTAAGTATATTTCAGCCCAAAAGCTTAAAAGCTTCCCGTTTACATAAGCCCTAAGTTCGGAATAAATTAGAATACTTTTTAGGTTTTTTTTTTAGTTAAGTGTCCATGATTCAGCCCTGAAGAGAATCAGAAACTTATCTATTTAGTTTTTTATGTAAGTCTTTTAATCTTTTTTTTATTTACAGATCGCGATGTCCAACACAATATTTCCAACAGCGAGTTCACAAAGAATAGAGATGGCGCTATTACTTACCAGTCTGTGGGTGAAGTTAATCCATTAGTGTCGATAACGAGAAATGACATAAGCGACAACTGTTTGAAATTGTACGGTAATTTCACTACGTGTCTCGCTGCAGTGAAAGTAGACGTACAAAACACTCAGACTTTAGTGTTCCGGGTAAATCACTATTTTTTCTATAGCAGATAACTTAGTGCTCAGGCCCCCTCATTTATTCATATAATAATAGGTCTTTACCTCTGAAATGCCGTTCTGCAGTACTGGCCATTTCAAATCAAAATAATTTTTGTTAGGCTAAGAATTCTAATTTCAAATGAATTTTAATTTTAAAAACATGGAATTCATTTTTCAAAATTAAAAAAAAAAAAAACATTACCCGAGAGGCAGTACAAAATGCCTTTATATAATTTGTTACCTCCCGTCCAGCTGAATTCTTCAAGAAGAGCATCAATAAACTGTCTTCATCAATATTCTGTCTTTTATTCTAAACTTTGATTAATAGAAATAAATAATATAGAAAAAAATTACCTTAACTTATTTCATAAAAAACGGCAATATCATATGTGAAGACCTAATATAAGAAATCTTATCTTACACAATTAAATATTTAAAAGTAGAAGTATTACAAAGCAGAAATGTAAATAGTTTCAAACTGGAGAGGCTTTTATTGCCAATTCTTAAATAATAATATTTTTGATATATTTTCCAGAACAACCTGGTGAGGAACAACGTGGGAGGTCTGCTGGTGCGAGCTGACTCCCGTGGTTCGGCCACGTCCCTCCGTGGTTGGATACATAACAACTTGTTCTATGAGAATCATGATTTGTCCTGCCTCAGAGTTGAAGGTAACAGTTTAATTTCGTTTTATTTTACTTAATTTTAACAAACCGTGTTTAAAAATCAGTTATTTCTTATTAAATCTTTGTCTCTAATAATACAGTTTGCTGGCTTTAATAAAATAACTCTAATTTTGAATGTTTTAAATTTACAGTATTTTTTTTTAATTTTCCCATCGCTTATTATAATCTTTTCCTTAGGCGTTTTCTTTTTATTCGTTAGTTGGGAAGTTGGTCCGTAGAAAATATAATAGATTCGGGGAAATATCGTTTAAAATCTCAAAGCCTGCGAAAAATGCAAATTTGCCATCTATATAGTTTCCAGGGCCAAAATATTCCGAATGAGGATCCTATTTAGTTTTTATAATTTAGAAGAGTCATTTGATGTATGTAGTAATGGGCATTATATTTTAGAATTTGATTTGATAGATTTATAAATGACGGAAAGTAAAGACCCCACTACATTATTATACATTTTGTTCAAAATATTTTAGTATACATTTTGGACACAGAAATCCCAATAGAAGTGATTTTTTTTTAGAAGTACGTTTTATCACATTCTGATTGTTTCTACCATGATACCTGTCGCCAGCTCGCCCGTACCAAGTAACATTTGCACCAAATTGTAAATGCATATAACATTGCTGCATGCGGTTTATAATGATCCAGATTTCTAATACCTTTCATAGCAATGGTGGTCGTAAAATGACAGCACAACGAACATACATAACATAACATACACGACATAAAATATGACTCACTTTCACCTTATCGAGAAATTCCAATTTAAAATATCTCACGCCGCTGGTGTGTCATATATCACTTGTTGCGGCAACAGTCATTGCCTCATTGCAACTTCTATTATCTTTTTATTTAGATTGGGGCTAGATTCAGTGAGGATATTGAACGTCTCCATTATCCTTTTAACTAATATAAAATATCCTGTCCAATATTTCAGGTCGTCAATCGTCCCCATACCAGGAAGTGACGATCTACCGTAATTACTTCACTCGTAACCGCGCCCAATATAAGGATGTCATTGTATTACATCAAGTTGTCTCTAATTTCACTTATAACTACGTGCACGCAAACACCGGGCTGAGGATCTTAGAAGTTTCTGGATTCGATAAAGTGCGTCTGCCCATCTACCAGACGACATCGCATAATGGGTTTTATAAGTAAGTATTTTCCTTTTTTGCTATCGTGTGAGAGTTAATGGATGCAGGTGGCTTAGAAGCATGTTTTGTGACATTCTTTGGAGGATGTCAACAGATTTTTATCTGGACAAAGATATTCCATTTTAGAATTGAAAAGAGATTTCTAAATTCATGCTCTGGATTTTTTTTATAGAATAAGGATGACAAACGAGCATACAGTCCTGACGGTAAGTGGATACTGTGGCCCATAGCTAATATTTTACGCTGGTAATCTGTGAGAGCGTGGTCCTTCCCCGGTCAAGCCAAACATTTATGGTTCATTTATAATATAGCTAAGGTAAGGCATGTCTCAATTGCGTAAAAGACTGCTTCCCATTACGTCTTTGGAATTGGACCCTGGAATAGATTTATTTCAGAGACCGATTTTTCCAGAACCCGTGAAACTCACATTTGGATAATCAGTTCTTTTAACTAAACTAATACCATCTCTCTAAATTTTCAGAAACTACGCTTTGGATCGACTAGGCAGCGCCACTGTTGTGGCTGGTACAGCTGGACAGCACTACGTAGACAATATTTTTTTCAACCCCGACAACGATTACGAAATGATCACCGTCAACCGCTCTATGTGAGTATGTCCGATATATTATGTTACCGCTACTAATTCATTGTGATTAAAACATTTTAAAATTTCAGATATCAATGACTAAATTTTAAACGACATTTTTAGCATAGAACAACATGAGCCACCGATGGAACCGTGTTGCTCTATGATTTTTAGCATTTATTAAGTTATGGGATATGCATGTAAGGACTGTATATATAAAATTTTTGTATTATGAAAATTTAGTGTTACTAAAATTTATCAAAAGCAACTTGGGTAGTTGACACTTATCAATAAATTACTAGTCTAATAGCTGAGTGCTACCATCTGCTTGGGATCCCATTAATACAAATAAATAAAATTGAACTGTATCTTTGTAATGTAAAAATTCAAGCTTTTTAATAAATGCATGTGAAAATACATACGGTACTAATAACAAAAAACAATTTTTAAAGTTTTGTCTGTCTGTCAGTCTGTTTGTTCCGGTGAATCTCCGAAACGTCTGGACCGATTTAGAACACCTCATTTTGCCCCCCCCCCCCCTCACCCCCACTCCCCTCATGACCACGGATGCTGTAAAATGCTCGAAGAAACGTCGGAAATATAAAATAAGTCAATATACGCGATGAAATCCGTACAAACTAGTTTTCTGTAAATCTATAAATATTATTATTGAAATTTACTAATTTTAATTTTTTTTCAATCCTTATAGTCCATTTACCGGTTTAAGAGAAATTAAATCGTTTATTAAAATATTAATTATAATAGTTTAGAAAAACATATGATATTTATTTGATTACTACATATAGTGACTGCCTCATCTGTCTAGTGGCTGTAGTAGTGCGACTGCTGTTCATGAGGTGCCGGGTTCGAATCCCGGGTCGGGCCAAAAAAAATCAGTTATTGAGTATTTTCCATCAAGAATTTGTCAGTAGCTGTCCGGAGTCAGGAAGTTGGCGGTGTCTCGCCCCCGTGCTTCGGAAAGCACGTAAAGCCGTTGGTCCTGTGCCTGACCTCTCTCCGGTCATGTCAGTTTACCGTCCCATCGGACTATGAGAGTGAGGGAATAGAGAGTGCACCTGTGCTTGCGCATACACTTGGGCACTATAATCCTGTCCTGCGCCGATAGCTAGTCTCCGTTGAGGCTGACGGCCGTGACAGAAATTCGGTCTGGAGGACATTATTATTATTATTACCATTACATATTATAATAACGACATCATTTACTCGTATTCTCACAAAATTTCTTCGAAAAAAAAACGGTTTAAAAGTATTTCAATTATCATAAGTATAATATAGTGTAACTATAATTATTATAGACATGAGTGTGAAGTGTGAACTACCCATTGTTTTGTACACATTTTTTTTTAATTTATTAAGCGAATGTTTTGGCTAATTATTAAGTTACTTTCAAAATTACTATCATATATACGGTCTTTAAAATAAAACTCAATAAAATTTGAATGATTTGCATGTTTCTGTTGCATGACTGCTCCGGACCATAGCTTTGTTGACTATAATGCCAATGCCATAAGGTGAGTTTGTTTATTAAATACTATTTAATATTTTTTTATTGCTGACATACTTTTTTTTTTCTTTTTTTTTTATTTCTATTTTTAAGAAATTGTTTCCAATATTAAAACATACATTTTGCTTTATTTTAAATAATATAATATAATTTTAACCGACTTCAAAAAGTAATCGACTGGATTGTTCATTGATGAAATGTTTAATTAGTTGTATTTGCCACTTCAGTAGGTATACATCCACAGTACTGTCATATTCACAACCAGGTTCGATGATAATTGAAGTCGGTTTTATTTTATTTTTAAATAATACAATTATATTTTTGCATTCACCAATTTGACTCCTTCCGCCTGCATGTAACCAAAACCTATTTATTTAACTTTTCAACTAATTATTTAATATTTATTTTTATTAATAAAGTATTTATTGCAGATAATTATTTCATATTCGTTTCTTATAAATTTTGATTTGTTCGAATTCAAGTTACCTAAAGCTATAGATGGAAATCTAAAAAAAATATTGACATTTCGGTAATCGTGATCTGTTTCTCAGGAAACACATAAAATAAGACGTGTTCTGAGTACACCGCAAAAATTTCACACGGGGATCTTCATAAAGACTTACAACATTCTTCTTCAGGACAGAATGTACATAACGTCAAAAATAACTAACGAGTATGGTGGCCATCTTAGATTCTACGGACAGTCCCATGATTACAATTATAACCCAAAATTGTAAAATTAAAAAAATCTAATCCAAAAGGTTATTGGCTCCCGAATGTTCTGGTTTCCTAACAAAACCATTCCGTTGATAAATATTTGGTTCTCATTTATTATTTGCCAGTCAATATTGAAATGTTACGCTCACTGCTCATTGTACAATTTAATATGAGCAGTTGTGTAAACTTACCACATTGTGAATCAAAACCAAGAAATAATTTAAAAATGCCGGTAAAGTGAGAAAGGGATAGTTAACTTTCACATCTTTATTAATATACAGTTTTAGATTTCTTGTCCGTTTTCTTAGTTCTTTTCAAGCTCAAATATCATATTTTTGAAATATTTTCATTTGTGTTAAAATCAACTTAATTAATATTTCAGCGCTTTAGAGCTATGGAGGACTCGTATTGACGCGAAACACAATTATTGGAGTTACAACGAGAGTTTGGCAGTATCAGGACGGATTCGGGATCGATCTGACGACCCTCTGTTAATAGAGGTAAGCAGTAAACATTATGTAAAAAAATAAAGTTCTCTCATTTTAAAGAGTGTATTTGGAGTCCACACTTTTCCAGAAAAGTTGACTGTGCTGCCGCAATGTGTGTTGGCAGACTTCCCCATGTCATCGGTTTGTTTTATTATAGACCTGCCGGTTTTGTTTCGATGTTTTAACCAACAAAAAAAAATTGAAGCAAAGGAAAATGCATATTTTAGAAATTAAATAATATTTCGAAAATATGTGTAATCCGGCAATACGTGTTGAGGTAATGTGGTGGATATTTCCTAGTCCTAAAACTCTCATAAATTATAGGAGGCCTCATTAACATAGATAAAAAGGAGAAAACACGATACGGCCATACAATACTTAATGAGAAATTGGATGTTATATTTAAACACATATACATCTACTGAATAAGAAACTTTTTACGGTACCAGTCCTTACCTTTTTACCAGTACCTTATCCTCATTTTTTTTGTTTTAATCAATGAGACGTCTAGGTAACACTCCTTTTTTGCCTAAGAATACTTTTGGGTAGGTAGGTCTCCCGTGTTCCGGCCTGAAGAGTATATGGATTTGTTTAATTACAGTTTGTGAGATATTCCATTTTAATCATTAGAGGTTGTATGTTTGAAATTGATTGCAGCAGGCCTATTCGCTAACTTTGTTGACATTAAAATCATAGTGACTTTGTAGTTCTTTGCGTCGTATATTTTATAATATGTCTGCTCATAGGCCCTTATTATTAAACGTTACTCAATGACGAACTCAAGGCCGTAATCATTTGATACGCCTACATTACGATATCAGCATCTCAAGATCGTTGCTAATTAATAAACACATAAAAATAGTGTCTCAAAACGCTATACTTAGGAATATTATAAAAATTTGTGACTTGCACTCAAGTACACACACTTGAGAGTCGAGTTTCATTTATTAATCAGTGTGGCACTCATCTGATATCGTAAACCTAAGCCGCATCTTGAGATATGTTTATTAATAAGATCATAACCTCAAGATTGTACTCAAGTGCGTGTACTTGAGCTAAGTAACGTTTATTAATACGGCCCTTAGAGAATGAAGAAGAGCTTTTCAACGCGGTAGAGTCATGTTGCAGGTATATTAGTAGCACGAATGGGTCGGCTCGACTGGGGTAGAGCCACGCTCTCACAGAATATCAACGTAAAATAGCAGTTGAATACTGCTGTGTTTCGTATGGTGAGTGTAGATAACCGGACACCCTTTTAGTGGAAACGAGGATTTCCATCTTAGTTTTCAGGGGTCACAACGCATCTGCATTTTGATTCTTAATTGACGATAAATGTAGATGTCTATGGACCACAGTATTCTCTTTCCATCAGGTGGACTGTGTGTTAGATAGTCACTCGTATTTTAAAAAAAATTATAGTATATAAAGTAATGTACTTCATAGTGACTTTTATTTTGATGACAATCAAGTTAGTGAATTGGCCTGCTGCAATCAATTTCAAACATTATTGCAAAGGTTATAGATGCGGTGTCACTTTTGATCATTAAAATGCAATGCTTTATGGTCTGCAATTGTATTGGCTATTTATATTCTTTTTAGACTGTCGATGGGCTGCTGTAGTCACTTACGTAGCAGGTGGTATGTAAGTTCGTTGTCATTTTAGTTTAATAAACAAAAAGCAGTGACATGTGAAAGATAGAAAGATATTTTTTCATAATAATACGCTTACTCGTTTGTATATCACATAAATAAAAAAGCCCGCGACAAGGTTATGACGTAGTGTAATGCTCTAGGATAAACTACAGCTCTGGTGATTTTGCATTACTATATACACACATTATTCGTCTGATTGTGTAATTGATATATATTTTATAAGTAGTTTTATGAATATAGGTGTAATATAGTAGCTGTAACAATATTTAAAGCCGCGCTGAAAATGTTCCCCCTTCCTCGAAATATGTGGTTAGTTTTGCGGTCGTACATTGTGTGAGTATAGTCTGTTCGCTAAAATAGTGTCGGTATATACAAAGGTGTGCGTATTGTGTTTGTTAAATAAACGTTTTTGTATTTCACTATTTTATTGTTATGGTTATTGTAATAAAAACAAATATAAATAATAAACACAAGTTAAATAGCAAAGAACCATTCACTATGGTGGTTCGTTTAAAAATGTCAAATTTTCCTGCGGATGTACCTTTGACGTTGTGGTGGCGCCATTGACAAGATACGGCACGCGAAATGGCGGCACGACACAAAGGCGACCGTATCGGAGCGGGCAGACTATAGCGTGTGCGGTGCGGCAGGTGGAGTGGCGGCCGTACCACGTGTCGAACGCGTCGGTGCTGGCGGGCGGCAAGTGCCCGCCGGGCTGGGCGGCCGTGCGCGGCGCCTGCTACATGTACGTGGGCGCGCCCGTCACCTACGAGCAGGCGCGACACTTCTGCCTGGTGAGTCCGCGGCGCCGCGATGTAACCACATGCACTACACACGAATGTCATACATACACACTACATATATCCACCACTGCCTATAAAACTCCACTGCTGAACATAGTAGACGGATTTTGTCTTAGTTGCCACGCTTGGCAAGCGAGTTCACAACCGCAATTTTTATGAATTGATGTCAAGAAGATGCTGCTGCCCATCTCCTGTTTCATTTTCCCTCTATCGCCTCTTACGACACCCACAGGACGATGTGGCGTAGTAGATATTTTTACACCGCCACTACACGATTAACATACATATATACACACAGCACATTATATACACACATAAGCTCTTAGTCTCTTACCAACAGCGATAGGAACAAACTACGGACTTCCATTTCACACAATCCTACCACACCATAGAATAAGAATCATAAACAAACACAAAGTCCTGATCGTAAATAGATGCTGTGGCTCATAGACATCCACATCTCTCCTAGATTTAAAATCGACATGCAGATGCTATCATTCCTGAGAACCAAGATGGAATATCTCATTTCCAATAAAAAGGGTCTCCAGTTCTCTACACTCACCATGAAACACAGCAGCATTAAGTTGCTATTTTACACTGGTTTTCTATAAGAACGTGATCCTACCCAGGTCGAGCCAACCCATTCGCGCTTGATATAGCTGCAAACATACCTCTACCATGTAAAAACATGACATCATTACGTAAAACCATTACATTTTGATTGTTACTTTGACCGCCCCGTGAATTAACGAAACAGTTAAATAGTAGTCGTAAACGCAACTTACCACTATTTAACTGTTTTGTTAGTTATTCATTTTTATTAACCTTAGTTAATTATTTAGCTAATTTAAACTTAATTATTTAGCTAATTATTAACTTTTATCAACAGTTAATTACTTAACTATAATTTAATTGATAACGTGACTGCTGATTATATGGTATTTAATAATTTCAGGCGTTACTTTACGAAAATTCATTATATTAAAGACTAGCGACCCGCCCCGGCTTCGTCTGGATGGGATCTATTAATGATAATCCAAGACCATTTGTTTTATTAATATTTCAGTTTTAAACAATACCTTAATTTTATTTGGGTAAAACATAGCCTTAATCCCTCCTGGAATTGCTCTCTATCTGTGCGTAAAGTTTCATCACAAGTTAGACATTCCGAAGATTACCCCGGACAAACAGACAAAAATTTTAAAAATAGTTACCATATTTCAATAGCATTCAAATAACGCCCTAAGCTCAATAGAAATAATTTATTTTATTATTACAAACAGACACTTTAATTTAATTTATATGTATAGATGTGATGATATAAAAAAATATTAGCTAAGATCAGCGTTAAAATAAAATAAAAATGATGTGTCTTGCCTAATTTGAAGAGTCCCTAACGTCCTCCCGCTATTGTGTGTACTATAGCGGTACCACTAATCCCAAGACCAAAAATCAGTTATTGGGTTTGAGTGAGGTTACAAAATCCTAAGAAGCAGCCCAGAGTTATTAATTTGTTAATTCAAGCATTCCTGGATATCTGTACACAGTATGGTCCCACTCACATTTAGCAGTATTTTTGCAGCACAAACTGAGTGGTTTACTCTAGTTTGTAGTATTTGATATTATAATGTTCAAAATACCAAAAAAAATCTATTAAATCTTATTTTTATACAGTAAAAAATTATTACACTTGGAAGAGAGTAGAGGGAGATGATACGAAATGATTTTATTAATTCTTCATAATTTTAAAATATGTCTTAAATGCAGTTATTTCTCTCGCGCTCTATACAACGCTTGTGGAATACCGAGACGGCAATAAATCTATTAAATGTTTAATATTATTGACATTTACTTAAAAAATAACCAAATCGACAATGCTCAAATAAAAAAAAATGGATTGACCCCGACGTGATTTGAACACGCAACCTTCTGATCTGGAGTCAGACGCGCTACCGTTGCGCCACGGAGTCCTCGTGAAAGACACTGAAATATTGCTTTGTAATATAAGCTTCCCCTTGCTACTTCCTCTTACCACCGATAAAGATTTACTTATGACTTTTGGAAATTATCTTATATAGAAATACGAGTCACGTTGTTTGTCCGCGATAAACCCCTAAACTACTGAACTGATTTTAATGAAATTTTGCTCACTGTGTGCAGTTTGGTTCAACTTGAGAGATAGTTTTTTCCTGATAAGTGACGATCAATATTTTTTATTACGAATTTAAGGATTTTTTATATGAAGGGTCGTCGAAAAGGGCAGAACGTCTGCCTGGGCAGCTAGTATATTATATGATATATGATAATCGAATGATTAGTGACTCACTTGCATACCAAGTATTATAAAAATTTTACTAGTCGTAGAAAAATTGTTAATAATATTATATATTTTTTTGCATTCTCATGAGCATTTTGAATAAAAATAATTAGTATTTCTGTATTAATAATTTGAAAGGAATCCATAATATTAAGTAAATAAACACATCAACACGGTATAGGGATATTTTAACAACGGTCTCCGGTTCTCTAGAACCGGAGACCTTTTTTACTGGAAAAGAGGCATTCCATCTTAGTCGTCATGGGTGACAACGCATCTGCATTTTGATTCTTTATTGAGGATAGATGTAGATATCTATGGGTCACAGCAACCACTTAACATCAGGTGGACTGTGTGCTCGTTTCTCACCCAATCCTATAAAAAAAATTTTGCCTGGTGCCTATTGCCGCAGCGACGGTACCTTGAAAAGCACCAGCCTGTTCCCTCTGCTCTTAACATCTCTTCTCCAGTTAAATGTCGACGTTGCATTGCAATAAAATCTCAAATTATCACAATCAACCTAAGTTGAATTAAAAAGATGTTTAAATAGCCGTTTTGTACAAAAAAAAAACAATTACTCTTGAGTACAAAATTCGCTCCCTCTAGATCAACTCAATTTTTACCACCAACACTTAATTTTTCTTTTATTTAAATTTGGATTCACTCTGGAATAAATGATGAACAATTTGATACTAAAACATTTTAAAGTGGCCAGTGTTTTTTAGTTGGTCAATGTTTTCAAAAAAATAGTTATACCGTGTTGATTTGAATGTATATTTTGCGTTTATTATTTATCGACTCCGTGGCGCAACGGTAGCGCGTCTGACTCCAGATCAGAAGGTTGCGTGTTCAAATCACGTCGGGGTCAACATTATTATTTTTATATGTTTTCAAACATGACATGATTTTTCTAATTTGTTTTGTGTTATATTTTTTTATCTCTAAACATCTCCATCACCAGGGAACATTACAGTTGCGCTTTTTAAAAGAGTAGGCTTTTCCTTAAAGGTCCCTTAGTCATCAATTCTTTTCTTTTCTCCATTATAACCTCAAAGCAACAAAGAAAGATTTTGAAGACAAGTCTTTGATGCACTCACGCACACATCTTCCTTCTTTCTTTATTAGCCCGTAAATGTTCACCGCTGGACGTTCACATATGCACGTAGAACCATTTTGTTGGTTGCAAATAACTTTAGATGCACGTGGGTGCGTAATCTTACAATAAGTTGAGCATGATTTTGGCTTGGTTTATGCATCATTTTAAATGTACGCACCGCTCCATCTTTCTTTCTTTGTTTATTTATTTTATTTATTTAAATTTTATTGAACCTTGCACATTAAGTAAAGGAACAAAAGGCGGACTTAATACTAAAAGCATTCTCTGCCAGTCAACCTTAAGACAGTGATATAACTACGAAGGCGGTTACAAAGAAATATGCATACACACATACATATACATATTATACATACATATACATATATACATACATATACATAGATACATACATATACACAAGTATATAAATTTATATATTATAATAAAATATAATATAATACGAGATACATAAAGATACGTAATATACTAATGATGACGGGACTTAGAAGTTGTATAAAGCAGTTTTAGAAAACTGCTTTACAACTTTTCTGATTTGATTTGTTTCTTTCTTTCTTTGTTGGTATGAGATTATACCTTAAATCTTTGCTTCTAGTCTGACAACGCTTCGATGCCGTACGTGTCCGGTAACTACGATGAGCTCTACGAGTTCGTCCACCGTCAAAATCAGGGGTACCAATATAGCGATCGCGTGTGGATCAACCACATAGACTACGTTACTCAGTGCACATCCTTCGCGTATTCCACCGTGGAGATCACAGATTGTAACCAGAAGAACGCGTTCATCTGCGAGATTGGTGAGTTTCTTCCATTATCCATCCATTACAACCTATAAAATTCCACTGCTGAACATAGACCTCTCCCATATAATTACCTCATAGGAAGGATTTCGCCATAGTTGCAAAGCATGGTAGGCGGGATGGCACTCGCAGTTTTTATAATTTTGCGTTGTTATCAGGAATATGCTGCTGCCCCTGTTTCTGGTTTCCTCTGTCGCCTCATACGACACCTAGGCCCGAATTAATAAACGTTACTCAGCTCAAGTACACGCACTTGAGTACAATCTTGAGTTTATAATCTTATTAATAAACATATCTCAAGACGTGGTTTAGGTTTACGATATCAGATCAGTGCCACACTGATTAATAAACGAAACTCGACTCTCAAGTGTGTATACTTGAGTGCAAGTCACAGAACAGTATTCCTACGTACAGCGTTTTAAGATACTGTTTGTATGTGTTTATAATTAGCAACGATCTTGAGATGCTGATATCGTAATGAGGGCGTATCAAATGATTACGCACTTGAGATCGTCGTTGAGTAACGTTTATTAGTACATGCGCTACGGGTTAATATGGGGTAGTGGATAAGTATTCTTTCACCATGAGTTTTTAAACAAAATTATTTTTGATGGAAGTCAATAAACAGTGTGCTTGTTTGTCACCTTTATTCTATTATGTTTTTTGTATTAAAAATTATAATAGATAATTATTTTGTGTTAAAAATATTAAAGAATCTCCGAATACCAATATAATATAATAAGGAATATTTTTCATCAGATCCAAAAATAACAATTGACCCCTTATCATGGCGCGGGGACACATTGGCCGTGGCCTTCATCGGGGTGTTGTTGGCAGCAGTGGTACTGGTGGTAGCCGCGCTCATCTGCTGGTACTCGAAGTCTAAGCACAGGTGTGTATTTATGTTCTCAGTGTTTCTGTCTTCATCCAAAGAAATGCCTTTTTTAAATATATATTTTTAGCAATTTTTTATGTACCGTGCTAAATTCTGCAGAACGAAATACTTAATATCATTTCGGTCTGTCTGTCTAGTTTCTCTCCCAGAGAGTTATCTCTCCCATAGATGATTAAAATTATACACGCACAGTTCTAAATCCTTAGGTGCGACAACGCATCTGCATTTTTAGTATTAATTTGTGTTTAGGTTTCACAGTGCATAGTGAAACCACTTTGTTTTTGTTGCGATTATCGTATATTATTTAAAGTACCGGCTGTGTGGTAGCGGCCTAGAATGTCACTCCCTCTCATCCCGCGGATGTTGTACGAGCCGACAGAGGGAAATTCCATTCAAAAGGAGACGTTTAAGTTTCTGACCGATGGCGGCATAACCATCGCAGTCATCGTCAGGCCAAAAATGCCCAGGCCTGTGATGGGCAGCAGCATTACAGGTATGATGTGTCTGGCACTGCGATCGCCAACCCGCTTGCCCAGCGTGGCGATTAAGGGCAAATCCTTCCATTTTGAACTTCTTCTGAAACTTCAAACCGTTACCATTACCGCCTATTGAAATCAACTGCTGAATTTAAGCCTCCCCCATAAAATGCCTCATAGGGGGGATATTTTACATAGTTGCCGCACTTGGTAAGCGGTTGGCTACCACAGTTTTTTTAAAGTCCTTATTAGGAAGATGTTGCTGCCCATCTCCTGATTTGTTTCTCTCTGTCGCCTCGTACGACACCCACGGGATGGTATGGGGTAGTAAATATTCTTACGCAGCCAATACACGTTAAACCAACTCTAACACCCTCTCACAAATGTGTTCTGAGCCCAACTGTGGGACTTGTATGGGTTGTGATTTTACTTTTAACCATATACTTATTATTTTGGGTGATATTGTTTGTATTTAGACACCTGCAGCGCTTAGAGCGTCGGAACTCCATCCGTCAGTCGCTGCACTCAGTCCGGTCCATCGGCAGCATCAACGGCGGCTTCCCCGATACCACCTACAGGAGAAAACTCACACAAATGGTAGGATCTTCTTAAAGGTCATAGAAATTTGTGTCATTTTTATTTCTTACGAAACCTGAAACTTCATATATAAACAGTTGATTACGTGTTTAAAAAATTTAATGTAATATATTATTTTTTCAGAGTACTCGATCAACGGACACTCTTACCAAAGGCTCGGACTATAGAAAAATGCTCGCTTCAACCACTTCAATAGAGTCAATGGAGAAAAGCCAATTCAACTCGTCCATGGAGGACAACCAGAGCTTTGATATCTACGAAGCTCACAACCCGAACAATATTATACAACTCAAGCACAGCACATTCAGCAAAAAGAACTCGCCAGAGTACTCCGTACCACAAAACACGAAGCCCTACAATTTAGGTTACCGCAACGAGGCATATAAGGAAAATTCCGGTGCGAGCGAAGCGCCATCTGTGAACACGGTGATGACCGAGGAACTGCCCATCATTCATCACCCGGGCGGCGTTACATCAGCGCATGATGATGACACGCTGTCACCTATGAGCGACTCTCAGTATTTCACATCGGATACTTTACCGTTAAGGCGGCTTGATAGTTCCGATGATCCAGTGGCCTTGAAGAGAGAACTGGAAAAGGAAGGGAAAATTTACGGGCCGTATGGTACGCCTAATTACGGTACGCAACCGAAACTCTCTTTTCTGATGGAGTTAAGGTCGAAAATGCCAGAGCAACCGCAACCTGGCGCCGTGCCGACTTCTACATTTGGACAGAGAAGTAACACACCGGGTTTGTAACTTGTATAATTATTTTAATGTTTCACTCAACTCAAATTGTGGTATTGGATAAACTCTAAGGTTATAATCAATAAATGAATTCATTCCATTTATTGATTACAACTTTTTAAAAATATAGATATTGTCTCGTATAGGTCGTGAGAGGCGACAAAGGGAAATTGAAAAAGTAAAATAATATTGTATTCAGATTATTTTTAACCGACTTCAAAATGGAGTAGGTTCTCAATTCGAGCGTTTGTTGTTTTTTAGGGTTCCGTACCTCAAAAGGAAAAAACGGAGCCCTTATTGGATCACTTTGTTGTCCGTCTGTCTGTCTGCTGACAAGACCCTTTTTCTCTGGAACGCGTGGATGTATCAAGCTTAAATTCATATCAAATACTCAAGTCTACTGTCCCTTGGAGCTGTGAAAAAAATCAAACTTCTAAGCCAACGCAATCAAAAGATACAGCCGCTTATGCCGCGAATTTTCGACATTCGCAAGGGAATCAAAACCTACAGGGTACATCCCGTGAACTCAGAATTTTAAAATTTGGTACGAAGCAACGTATTATAGCACAGATAAAAGAAAAATTGTGAAATGCATAAATTTTTAGTTACATCATAATATAATGAAAATATTTTTAATAATTTCAAACTTATATACCTACGGATTAGTTCGGGGAACCCTCGGTGCGCGAGTCCAACTCGCACTTGGCCGGTTTTTTTTTGTATGTATGTTACGCGATATGTTTGCAGATTGTGAATCAATTTTGATGAATCTTTTTTTTTAAATAATTCATACTTCAAGGGTAGTCCCATATAAATACACACCTAAGGGTAGCAAATAAATAACTTCTTTTTTAGCAATTTGTAGTCGGTTTTTACTTTTTGTGAAAAATTATACTTATAATTGCTCGTGTAGTGGCGGTTTAAGAATATCTACTATCCCAAATAGTCCCTTGGGTATCGTGAGACGCGACACGACAGAGGGAAACTGAAACAGGAGACGACCAGCAGCATATCCTGATAACAACTAAAAACTGTAGAAATCTGCGGTTACGAATCCGGCTGCCAAGCATGACAGCTATGGTAAAATCCCCCTATGTTTCAATCTATGGGGAGTATATATGTTGAGCAGTGGACTTTATAAGGCTGTAATGAATGGATGAAGGTAAGATTAAATATTCTTAGTATTGGTATACTATTTCCTAATTTTTTTTTCCTCTTTACAGACCAACAGCAATTTTACGAAGACAATCTCCCCCCGCCTCCCCATCCGCCAGTATATGCCAGTGCGTATGACTCTCCATCAGAAGCCCTAGCCAGCTACGACTCTAGTCCCAACTCATCACAGCAATACGACGACACCTACCCATCTGACCTTCACGGCAGGTCCAAATCCGAAGCTTTGTTAGAAACTAACTTCGACTTTGATGAACAAAGCCCTGTACCCATGACGGAAGAAAGTCGATCTTACAGCCAGCCTCTGGAGACTGCTATGTAAGAAATATACAAAATCGAAAATTAAAGGAATGTCACAGAAATTATATAAGGCGTCAAAAAACACCAAAATTATGTATATATATATATATATATATATTATTGTTATTTTAAAAATGTTGATTTTAAGAATAATCATAAAATCAAATAAAAATTAAAAATAATTATATACTATTATGAATTTGTATATTATTATGAATTTTCAAAAAAGTAAAAGTTATTGAACACATATCAATGTAGCAGTGAATCCAAAAAAAGTAAGCAAATGTTAGTTTAATATTAAAGGGGCCTTATTACAATATATTATGTAAAAAAAACTTCTATATGTCAATTTATACGATCTTCTTGCACAATATCATAATTAAGTTTTGTATTATTTATACAAGGATTTTATATCGTGTTTCTCTAATTTGATGTTCTAAATATATTATAAATTATGTAGTTTGGGCACTATATATTATAATGGGGAAGCAAAGAAAAGACTGAAACTAAATGTCACATATATTGTTTTGTTGTATTTAGCTATCATTTTTTTAGACCATTCCACACTTTTTTTTTAATAAAATAATTCATTTATCCATACTTATTTTTACTTGGTTATTTTATGTAGGTAACAATACCTAACATTTGTTCTATTGCCACGTTTCAATTTTAGTTTTAAAGTGCCAGTGTATACTTAACTATTTTATTTTTATTTTTCTTCAATTTTTCAACATATTTACAAAAAAGTGACTGCGAGATTGCAAACTATTAACGTATTTAATGTTAACCTTGGTATATTTTTTAAATTGTAGTTGCAAGATCTCATTACGTGGAATAATCCTATGATGGAATATATACATAGTTTTATTAAAATATATAGATTATTATGTACTATCATTACAATGCTTAAAAATTAAGTTTCGTAGCAAATTCAATATAGTACTAATGTACCAATAATTTTAAGTTAGACATCTTATTTACAGTTCTAGATAATATTAATTATAGTTTAAGTCTGTGTAATGTGTCCGTCCATATATGTTTTATAATATGATGATAAATAATTTATTTTGTAAGAATATTCTATTTTCTATACAATTTTTATGCTATAATTAAGTATTTTGTAGGCGTACTACATTCAAATTTTGTTTTATTTTTCTTTTCCATCCATATACATTGTACATCACTTTTATTTTAAAAATCAATTTTATATTTATTCATGTTCATGTTGATAAAATAATTATTTTATATGATTTTGGACATTTAATTGTTATATTGTACAAAGGTAGACCAATAAAAAACTGCGATTACAATTTTAATACTTTAATTAACCAGCCACCAGAGTTCAGGTTCACTAATGTCCTAGTTAGAAAAAAAATTTAATCATCATCGAAATAAGCAGCGAATCATCATCAACAGCCTGCGGTAATCCACTTTTGATTAGTTACCACGTGCCAGGCTGTCATGCCACATAATTCCTTTATTAAGAAATTGAGATAGATATCGCCAAAAGCTATTTCACTCTATGAATATAGCTTAGCTCAGATTCAATTATAAATAACTAATATATTATGCATCATTCAAGAGAGTGTCTATTTACATGTATATTTGGAAAATTTTAGCGCTCTCTAGTGCAGTTCGATACTATCAACACCAAGTTCAGTCTCAAATTTCAACGTGATTTCAACATTTGGAAATGAGGTTCTGAAATTTTGATTGTACAGTAAAATCAAGTAATTTTGATTTCCAAGTATTGAGGACTAATAATATTTCGCTTACCAGATGTCGCTAGTTGACACTCAGGTGAAGTTGTTACACAATTAATTCACATAATATTATACAAAACAAGACCACAGTGGTTTTTTTTTCCTAGTTTTTCAACGCCCCAGTGCTCTCTCAGTTTGCTCTTAATTTTTTGCACATTTTAAGTCCTTTTTTAAATATTTCTACTTTTATGAATATCTGTGGTTTGGATTATTTATTTTTAATCTAATCAATTTATAATAGTACAGATTATGGAGTGTAGAGTAGAAGGAGGACCATCTCTGTATATGAAAAGTGTCCCTAAAAACGCGTCCAATAAGGGTGGCGCTGCAGTAGCATAGGATAAATTTAAAAAAAAGCGCCAAAATTTATTAGAATAAGATGGAGAAATAAACAAGAACCGACCAATCCGCTTGGTTTTGTACTACGTAAATAGTTGAGGTTTTGTATACTGGCATTTTACTAACTACTCTAGTCATGAAATGTTTTAAATATTTTAATTCAGCTGACTTCACTCCGTCTACAACAGCTATATTCATATCGTAGTTTTTCAGACGCCAGCGCTATTGTGGTAGGTTTTGGAACCTCTATTTTCAGTATATTATATTAGGACACTTTTTCAATTTTCGCACCTTATAAGATGGTTCTCCTTCTACTCTACACTCCATAGTACAGATAGAAACATTTTTTGCTCCAAAGAGTACTTTGCTCTCAGGAAATTACGTAGACATTCTCTGTCAACGGGGAATTATTTTAATTTGATATGCTTTTATTTAATGGTGAGTTTGCACTATTACCCATTGATATACTCTTTGATTTGTTTGCAGTATTTCTAACTTGGAATTTTAAGAGTTAGTTTTAGCTTTTAATCAACTTACATAACTTAAAAAAATACTTTAGCTCTACTATATAAAATTAAAACACTTATGTATGTACCTACATTTGGTACGTTAAAAACGTAGCCACCACACACATTTGTCAATGCAAGCTGCAATTGCTGCTCTATAACGAGAAAATCGTTTTATTTATTTTTTTATTTTGTTATAGTGCCATTGTTGTTTCAATGAAAAGTACTTAAAAACGTTCTCTTTTGAGAAAGTGTGGACAAGCACTGTAAGTATATGCGTTAGTTGCGTTATACACCCAGTAATCGGTTACGTATTCAATTTAGTTTATTGTGGGTATTTTCATATTACTTCCTAAAGAATTCCTTAATAAACAAAAATAATGCTAGATGTATAGAGATGCAAAGTTGGAAGGGTTCATAAGTACTTTTTTAATTTTAAAATGTCCAATTTGACTAAATTGTTTTAAAATAACTTATTTTTTAGATTTTTTCAGTGATCTAGCTTTCTTTTAAAAATCTATTTGGCAACACTGTTTGCTTGTTATCAATTGTCAATAATTGAATTTGTCAATGTCAATTGTCAATTTGTCATTTACCATTTACCAAACTGTTGTGTTGAGGATTGATTGTGGTTTTTGTTGGTTACCATATATTTATATATGCTATTAGCTCATTATTTTTGTGATTGAGACTATTGCAAATAGCATTTCCTGTAGTAATTATATACGAGAATACGAGAGTTATATAAAATATATATATATACTCTTTGTTTGTAACTTCGTCTCGTCTCCTTTTCGATCGTCTCGCAATGACAACAAACTGTCGTTTTGCATTATAAAGTAAACTCGCAGAGCTCAAAAATAGTCTTAAAATATAAAGTAAAACTATAAAAACGTTATATATCGTAGAGAAAATATGGATACGACAAGTTCCATTAACAATGACTGTAGAGAGACCATCGAAAACGAAGAAGAAGTCATTGATGATTCCGAAGAAAGGGAGCTAGTAACAGACTCATGCTCGACAAAAGTCTTAAATAATGACGATCAGCCTACAGACCGATATCGACTTGTCTACATTCTGTTCTATCTCTTTGGTATAACATCGCTAGTACCTTGGAATTTTCTCATAACTGCAAATGATGTGAGTTAATTTTGTTTATGTTATATGTGAAAATGTTTTAAGATATCAATCTTCCTAAAAACGTAACTCTTTATAAAACATCTGTTTGTCTATATCTAATATACATAAACTAAATGTGTACATTTAGTTTATGTATATTCAGTGGTATTGGATGATGAATCATTGATACAATCCTAGTAGAACAACCTGTTAATTTATACATACAATATTTAATTCTTTAATTTCTGTTAATTTATTCATATATGTTGATGTTTTATCATGATGTTTCATCAACTAGAGAAGTGAATTTGTATATCTTGATAACATTACAAAGTACAATCAAGAAATAACTTTACAACACTATTATGAATTATTGTTGCCTTGTTACCATAACTATAAAAAACTGTACAAGGTCATGGCAATTATCAAAAAATAACGTTACTAAGTGAAAATAGTTCATGATGAAAACACAGAGTAGAGAATTGCTGCACCCCCACTAAATTAATATTATTGTCAGTTGCAATTTTAAGTTAAGTTAACTCATTCTGGTCATTATTGTAATTTTAAGTGTGTTGTTCCAACATACAACTTGGTTGAGCTTAGATTGCACCTCACTGTAATGTGAGACCCTTCCATTTACCCACTCTCAACCCCTTTCATACAGTGGTGTTAGTATGGTATGCATCTTTGTTATCGATTCACACATCTTAATTTCGTCTCCCATTTGTTTAGTTTTTAGGTTATTTTTGTTTTACATCATCAGCACCAAGTGCAAACTTAGCTGAACCGAATTTGAAATGAAGTCAAAATGCAACTGTTTCACAAAATATGGTGCATAAGCACAAGTACACACTATTTTTTTCACTCTCATAGTCAGATAGGAACTGTGCTGTATAAAAAATCAGGTGCAGAACCAACATATTTACATGCTTTCTAAGACACTGCGTGTGTGTCAGTGAAATACTGCCAAAGTCCTGACTTCAGGCTGCCACTGAGAATTTCTTGACAGAAAAACCCAGTATCTTGATTTTGGCCAGACTCTTGATTTAAATTCAGGATCACATGATGAACAGTCACACTACTGCTAATATAAGTGTCGGCACAGAAAGGAGATTCGTAACATGCAAATAATAATCTATACAAATAAATAAAATTGGAGTGTCTGTTTGTAATGTCAAAATAACAGCTTTTCACTAAATGCATATGAAAGTATATATGGTACTTATAACAAAAATACAATTTTTAAAATTTTTGTCTATCTGTCCGTCTATCTGTCTGTCTGTTTGTTCTGG